CCCGGCCAGCGTGGCCCTGTGCGTCTCCCAGTCCCGGGCTTCCGTCAAGGGCAGGGACAAGCCTCCCCGCAGGGAGTCTCCTGGCGACGGCGGCCTTGGCGTCCTGAGCTTTAGGTGGCCGCTGCAGGCCGCGCCGTCGACTGCCTCGGTGTGGGCTGGGCTGGACCCCCCCGCCCCCGACGGGTCTGGGTGGGTCTGGCCTTCTCCCAGGCAGGCTGCCCAGGGCAGCGCGGGGCGGAGCTCAGGGAGGGTGTCAGAGCTGTCCTGCCCTGCCCAGCGTTGCTGATGGAGGAGCCCCAGAGGCCTGGTGCTGCCCATTCTTGGCACAGAGGTTGGCACAGGCGAAGGCCCAGCCTCAACGAGGAGCTGGTTTTCTGGCTCTGGATGACGTGTTTCCCTTACTGCGGCCCGACACTGATGGCCTTTCGGTCCCGAGGTCATTTGACACCACGGGGCAGGTAGCGCGTCACTCTCCCTGCAGCGGGCGGGGAGGCTCCGAGGCCCGGCGGCCAGAGGAGGCCGGGCCTCCCCAGGCCCACGCTCCCCGCTTCCGTTCCCAGCAACACCAGCTGGAACGCCCTGCCGCGCTGCCGGCCAGTGCACTCATCTCTCCCGGGGGGCGGTCAGGGTGTGCCTCTGGCTGGGGGCTCCCCTGGGAGCCTCTGGTCTTTGTTCCCAGGCTGGGTGGGTGGAGGGCAGCGTGTGCACACGTCTGGACACACGTGTGAGCACGCAGGTGCGTGGGCTTCCGCACAAGCATGCGTGTGGGCCAGACTGGGGCTCCCCCCGGCTCCCCTGCCAGCTGGGGCCCGCGCAGGGCTGTGGAGGCGTCAGCCCGGCGTCTCTGCGCACCCTGGAGCCGCAACAGCGTCTCAGGGGAGGCACGGGCTAGAGTGCGGCCCAGAGTGGCCAGCACAGCTGCCCGCGATCTCTGGGGCCGTGGGGGCCGAGGGACGCGTGACGCCTGGCTCAGCCTCACAGGGCCCCTGGCTGTCAGAGGTGGGTGGGCGCTGCAAGCCCCTGGCTGGGGGCGGGGGCATCTCCCTCTTGGGAAGGGCCGTGAGCTCGGCTCAGGACTCCTGCCCTTAGCGCTCCCTCGGGATGGCGCCGCCTCACTGACCACTAGCTGGGGAGCGGCCAAGGCCTGGAGCTGAGCAGGACGCTCAGAACTCAGAACCGCTCCAAGAGAACCGGCTCCCCCGGCACCCTGCAGGCTCCAACGGAACAGAAGGTGGAAGGGCCAGGCCTGGCGGCCGGAGATCACGGGGTATGGCCCCCAACAGGCTGGCCGCTCCGAGGCACAGGCCGTGGCTGGCAGGCCACTCTGCCCCATCAGGCTGACCCGGGAGGAGACTCCCCTCCCAGCGCCCCGCTTACACGGCGGTAGTTTTCCGGGCCCAAAGCTGTGCTCTCAGACCAGCTGCACTGGAACAGACCCCAGAATCTCCAGGATGAGACATGCTGTGCTTTAGATCATGTTCGCTCGTGGCCCATAAATTCCAGCCCCAGATGGGCCCTGAGACAATCACCTGCAGGCCTTGAGTGGAGGCCCAGTCGGGGCATCCCAGGCTCAGCGCAGCTCCACTCAGCCCTGAATCACTCACATCCAGCCTGTGCGTGTAAGTTGGGAGGGAGGTGCTCAGGACAAGACTCTCTTCCCCAGAGTCCTCTGCAGGAAGAGCACCCCTGTGACCAAATTTGGCTGATGGCACGAGTGGAACTTTCGGGGCACGAGTGGAACTTTCGGGTCCTGACCCGACAGGGAAGAAGTTTGCCCTCCATTCCACCAGTCTCCGCCCCACTGGTCGGAATGCAGCTGTGATGGCAGGAGCTACAGCAGCCACCTTGGACCATGTCAAAGAGCAACACACTAGGAATGAGAGCGCTACCCAGTGGAGGAGGCTGGGGGCTGAGGCCTGACCGTAGCCACCACATCAACCCTCACTGCTATGGGAAGAGAAACGAGCCCTGTTTTACTCAAGCCACCATCCCTTGGTCTTGGCTGCAGCACCACAGTCTAATGACCACATCGGGGAACTGCCAAGGACATCATGGGAAACACTGGGGATTTCTACCTGGGGTCTGAAGTTTTACCCTGACCTGGAGGGGACTCGGGGTGAAGGAAAGCCCTGGGAGTGGGGGGGCAAAGAGCACAGCTCTGACACTCGGGGTGGGGCCCCCGGGACTGGTCTGGCTGAGGGGAGGGCGTCTGTGAGACTCCCAAGGCCCGAGGAGAAGGCGCCCCCCCCCCATTTCAACAGGTGAGACAGAGGCTGCGTCGGGGCCTCCCTCCAGCGCCAATGAGCACAGCACGGTGATGGAGACACTGACAAGACAACCCCGCTGCCGGGCAGAGGAATTTGGAAACATCAGGAAATCAAACTGTGAAGTCTTTGAAGGAATGTGATTTATGTGAAAATGTGATGAAGCTAATGTGTTTGGCTGCAGCGTCGGGTGGCACGCGCAGCTCTGGAACCACTTCTGACGCCTTCTTGGCTCCTAGCACACCCCGCCTCCCCCGAACGCTCTTGGCTGGTGCGTGTGCTCCGAGCCTCGGCGGCACGGGCGGCTGAGGGCAGGTGGTTCCGAGCTGTGTCTGGCACACACGCACACACACACACCTCTCACACACACACACCAAGTATGCATGCACATACATGTGCGCGCACACACACACACACAGAGATGCCAAGTCCCGGGAGCCGTCTGCTCCCACCCCCAGACGCAAGAGAGCTGAGTGTGACCGGCTTGACGGGAACTGGGTTGTGGTTTTTCAGTATTTTCTTGACGCAATGCTGACTTCCGGGCAGCCTGTTCCCTTGCCCCCCGGTGGGGACGGTGGGCAGGAAGCGCTGTGAGCACAGCCTACGACTCCCGTCTCACCCCTCACGCTCGCCCTTGCTGGTGGCTAGCTGGGGGGTCGGGCGGCAGAGCCCCCTGCTCTGGTTCCCGCCTCTGAGTGCGTGGGCTGACCCCCACCCCCGTCGGTGGGGAGGCGGCACTCCTGTCTGGGGTGGGCAGGTGTCTTCTGGGGGAGTTTGAGCCTTCCAGGGCTGTGTACTTCTGGGGACCCGGGTGTTATGGGAGGCAGAGGCATGGGAGCGAAAAGGCCGGTCAAGTGAAAGAAAGGGGGAGCATCTCAGGGAAGAGGGTGAAGGGCTGTGTGTGCGGGTGCCGGTTGGCGGGGGCCCCAGATCCTCCCCAAAGTGGGAGAGATGGCCCGGCCTGCTCGCCTGAGCTGACCCGCGTTGGCCTGAGTCAGAGACCCCAGTTCTCCTCTCGCTTCCTGGGAGCACCCTGGGCTGCAGGCCGGGGCGTCAGGTTCCGCCCTGCTCCCATGGCTCAGGACCTCGGTTCCGCCCAAGACACATGAGGGAGCTGAGACCCCACCGGGTGCCCCGGGGGGTCCCCGCACCTGCCTTGCTCCTGGCCCCTGCTGGGCCTTGGAGGGGAGCCACAGGCATCTCAGCCTGAATGATGGCTATTTTTTGTTCCTTGCTCTGTTGTGCAGGGGTGAAGGGAAGCTGGTCCAGTTACGCTCCACTCCCCCGTCTGGCAAACAGGCAGAGAGGCCCAGAGTCAGCAGGGGCAGGCAGAACCATGGGAGCCACGCGAGGCCGCTCCCAGGTCCTGGTACTGCGGGGGTTGAAGAGGCTCACGTGGCCCCCCGGTTTAGGCAGAGGAGCTACTGTCCCCTGGGGATCTCTAGGAGGTGGGTGTCGGGGTGTGAAGCCCTTTGAGTGATCAGACAGGGTGGTGGAAGAGGTGACAGGCCAAGAACGGAGGACGCAGGGTGTGAGCAGATGAAGAGGGGGAGTGGGCCAGGTGGGGAGGGGGGCACAGTCTAGGAGGGTGGGGGCAGAGGGCAGAGGCCATGGTGAGGTTCAGCAGGCATCCTCAGGAGTTTGTGCTCATTCTGGGGTGCCAGGCGGTCTGGTGGAGGGAGACTGTCAGAGCTGCAGTGAAGGAGGACCCCCCGGCTTGGGCAGTCTGGGCAGGCTGGGCTGTTGGCCAGTTGGAGCCCTGCTTCCAGCAGACCCCTCTCCTTCCTGAGGTGGGGGAGGAGAATCCCGCAATCTAAACACAGAGGGGACCTCAGGAGTAGCTGGTCACTGCAGGTGCTACCTGGCTTCAGCTTGGACACCTCTTGGACAGGACACTCCCCGATCCCCCCAGGAACACCCAGTAGCTTCTCCTCACCAGTCCAGCCTCCAGGTGGCATAGGTTCTAAGTGACCGTGACCCACTTTGTGAGGTCCTGTGTGGTGACAGGTCTTTGCCCTGAACCTCAGAGATGAAAGTTCTGGATCCCTGGACCCCATGTCCAGCACTGGACAGTGCCCAGACTCTTCTCAGGTCTGGCAGATTCCTGTTTGTTCTTCCCCCCTCCAGCTGTGCAGGCTACAGGCGAGGCCACTGAGAACCCCGCGCCCCGCCCTCCAGTACCTCTGTGGCTGTAGGGAGCCGAAACCCATAGAAACAAGGAGCCGCTGAGCGCAGCTTTCTGGACGCACTGGGTGTTTTGCATTCAGTGATTTGCACCTGACAGATGCTTCAGAAAGCATCACTTTGCCGACAAAATGAAATCCAGCTCAATTACCATCATCCCCGCGCCAACGGCCGGGAGCCAAGCAGCCCCCGCACCCGGGAGCAGGTGGCCCAGGGAGGCAGGCGGTCCCGCAGCCCCTCCGGGGCGGCCGCCCTCTCTCTGCACCAGCCCTGCTCTCCTGTGGCTGCCTCTGGCCTCTGCGCGTGGATCCCTGGCTCGGTGCCTCCTAACCTCACTTCTCCGGCCCTGTGATATGAGTATGACGTCAGCACCCGGCCCCCACGCGGCCCAGTCTGAGGATCAAGTGAAAGTGGGGGTGGGAGTGACCCTGATAAACACTCAGCCCACTGGCCGCTGCCCTCCTGGCGGAGCGGGGCTCCCACAGCCGCATCCCCGGCCGTGGAGTCAGGCCGGGCTGGGCAGCAGGCGGGGCCCAGGCAGGCGCTACTCACACATGGGTTTCAGCTGCCCGATGAGCTCCTCCTTCGTCCATTTCGCCCACTCCTTCTTGTCCGTGTTGATGGAGCAGAGGATGGGGCCGCATGGCTTGCCGCAGTCCTCGATGGCCGGGACGTTCAGGTAATGCACCAGGACGATGTCGGGGTTCTAGGGGAGAACACAAAGTGTGAGGGCAGCATGGAGACCAAGGTCAGCAACACCTCACATTCGGCACTACTGACATGGGCAGTTCTCGGGGCAAGGGGTGGGGGTGGGGGGCGCCAGGGCACAGCAGAGTGGTTAACAGCACTGCAGCCTGTGCCCCTGGGTGCCACTAACCACGCCCCTAGATGCCATTAGCCCCGCCCCTCATGCATCAGCCCCGCCCCTGGATGCCAGCAACCCAGCTCCCTGAATGTCACTAACCACGCCCTCCGACGCCATTTGCGCCCCTCACTAGCCCCGCCCCCGACGCACTAACCCCACCCCTGGGTGCCACTAACCACGCCCCCTAGATGCTATCCGCGGCCCTGTCATTAGCCCCGCCCCCTGGATGCCTCAACCCGGCTCCCTGAATGTCATTAACCACGCCCCCAACGCTATTTGGGCCATATCACCAGCCCCGCCCCTTGGGCACGACTAACCACGCCCTCTAGATGCCATTCGCGGCCTTGTCATTAGCCCCGCCCCCTGGATGCATCAACCCGGCTCTCTGAATGTCACTAACCACGCCCCCAGACGCCATTTACGCCCCTCTCACTAGTCCCGCCCCCCGACGCACTAACCCCATCCCTGGGGCCACTAGCCACGCCCCCTACATTCTATTCGCGGCTGCCATTAGCCCCGCCCCTAGGTGCCATCAATCGGCATCCTGGACGCCACTGACCACGCCCCCAGGCGCCATTTGCGCCCTCTGGTCACGAGCCCCGCCCGTGGGGCGCCAGGAGCCCCTCTGCTCCCAGGCTGTGGTAACTGGAAGTGCCTCCGCCCGTTGCCAGTGGGAGGCAGACGCCTGGGCTGGGGACGACGCGCCCATTCACAGGCCGAGGGACTGTTAACTAACAGGCATGCCCAGGGCCACACGGACCTGCCGCC